CATAATTGAAGTTGGTTCTAAAAACCAAACTCACTGCCGTCAGAGTCAGATCCGACTGGTAGCGACCCTTCCTTGGGTTTCTAAAGCATATCTCTATGGAAGTAGATTACTTGGTCTTCCAAGGAAGTCCGTTCTAAGCTCTGGTGAATTTCTTTTTCTGAAGGAGGGATAAGTGGGCCAAAAAAAAATGTTTTATAAACCCAGAATGGGAGATTGATTATCTTCAATTCCTGCCGTCAGTGCTACCCCTATGTGTAGAGCAGTAGCACTTTAACCATTTCTCTTCACATAAATCATTTCTGTTATCAGTCCATAAAGGGGGAATCATGTTTAGAGAAGATAAAAGAGTTAAGGGATAAAATCAAAACGATGCACAGGTCACTCATTTATTCCCATCACCCTACCTAATTCAGCTGGGAATGGGAGGATGAAATCTGGCCCTCGAAAGTTCTTGGTTTGCAATTAAGATTTATTGCCAGTTTGAGTTGGACCTATTTCTGTATACTTTCCTCAAGATGCTGGTTTTGCACCTAATAGTCCTATAAAAGAAGTGATAGATTGAACTAAATTTAAATGACTTGTGGATAATATGGACATAAAGAATGAATTGTCACTAAACTTTCAAGGAAAAATGATTTTTTTACCAAAAAGAAGAAACTAACACTTCTGCCAGTCACAAATATCTAGGCTCCAGTTAGAAATATCTCAATGTATAATCTTTATTTTAAAGCAGATAAGTGGAGGAGGGGTGTGTAACAAAATTTAAGAAAAAGTTTTATTTACTTTGGGTCAAATCTTCCCCTCAGGAGTAAATTGGGCAAAATACTGTGATTTATTAGATTTCTAAAATTTCAATGACTTACATAAAATCAAGTACAGTGCCAGGAAGCAAAAGGATACAATTTTAGAAGAAGCTTATAGATAGCTACATAAAAAGTTCATCTTTGACAAAATTCAATCAACATATATTAACTTTCAATAATTTTTCTGCAGCTTTACATTTAGATAAGATTTTCTTAATGCAAGTATATTTCTTAAAAACCATCTTAGAATGGAATACCATAAGGAATATAAAAAACTGTTAACCATAAGTTCTAGAGACCAAAACATGCTTAGGAATTCAAAGGAAGTAGGAGCATGATTAGTAAGGTGCATTTTCTTGGGCAAAATTTGTTGCCTTCTTATTTTTTAAAACAAGAATTATCCAATTTATATTTAAATTATATTTACCACCACATTCTACAATAATTTAACTTTATATCAACTTTTAAAATAAACTTTTAAATTCCTAACCATTTTATGAATTCTACTTTTAGAAACTTGCTCTTTAACTAGATTTAACTTCGGCTGAAACAAAATTTCATTTCTTGATGTGGGGTTAAATACGTCCCAATAAAATTACAGATTTGCAAACATAACCAACTTTCTCCTAGAATTGTAAATTACGGTCCAAATCCAGGAAGCATTATTACACTGATAGGATTGCTTCTCCCTTTTGGGATTCTTTAGAATTTCTGCATTACAAAGTCCTATGTGAATGGCCAATATGACATACTTTTTTTTTTTCCCCTTTGCCCTGGCATGATATATGTACAATAATGCTTTTAATTACCCAAATCAATATTTAAACAGCAGTGGAAATTTGAATTGCTTGCTAATGCTGATGCTTCTCACATAGTCTTTACAGCTGGTTGCTAATTATTCCTTATTTACTGAAAGTAAGTAATGCATATTCACACCCTAAAGTTATACAATAGGGATCTTACTGTGTAGGATTCTTCTGGGTCAAATGCACACTTTTTAAAAGGAAATTGTTTTAATTGTACATCTACATTTTTCTCAAGGTAAAATGCTTGGGTATAAGAATATCTGATTTAGTGAAAAGGATAGTTTTGAAAGTCACAGCTTGTTTCAGACAATGAAGATTTCCTTTATTTCCTCTAGTTGAAGAGGATGTGATGAGCTGAGAGATCACAAATTTCACAAAACAAGTTTGCACTGATTGTACTGAGATACTCAGTTCTTTCAAAAAAGATCAAGCTGAGTTTGTTAGATTTCAAATGAATTCCTGTTTTCTTTAAGCGTATTAAAAATTAGTCTTGTCTTTCTAAATTATCTCCTGTTCCTTCCTGCTTTTTCAGTCTTTTCTAGCAAGCTCCTGATGACTGTGAAGCAGCATATCGTTTCCGAGCATTTTCATAGATTTCATTTTTGAAATTGAAAGCTTATTTGAAGTGAGCATTTATGGAAAAATAAAGTTTTCTCCTCTCTCAAAGTTTTTATTTGGAAAATTATGCACGCCTTAAGAGGTTTCTTTTCTTTCTTTCTTTTTGTTTTAGTGTTTTCGATCTTTAAAAAAAAAGTGTTTATTCAATTTTAACACTCTCGATTGAAATGCACGTTAACTTACATTAACGTTTCCAAAAAACGAATAGTTAAAACACAACTCACCCTAAAAGCCATCAGATTGAAGAAAACAAGTGAAAAAAAATTGTCTTAACAAGATGTTTCACCATGTATATTTTCTCTTTTAAATTTGGTTTAGTGGATAATTTGGCTGACTAAAGAAATGCAACGTGTAGGAATATTGGCCAGGTCGTTACGTTTGAAACGTAAAGAAATCCTGACATAGATAGGATTTTTCAAAAAGCTTGTATGTATACCAGCATATTTCATTGCTTAATATTTTCAAGCTATGAATTTTACAACTCTACTGTGCTTTATTTCTACCATATTCTCCCTGCTGTTAGCTATTTTAAAAGATTATCTTTTATACTTTCTGATTTGATTAGATTCTGCAATCTATTCTCTCTGGGTATTGTGCTCTCAAGATAGAGAAGTAAAAATGGTCGCTAGTGGGCGCTGTGGGTCCGTGGAAAAATCATTGATTTGAGCACGCCTTCCGGATCGTGAGGCAGTTTCAAAGCCGTTCTTTAGACAAGCACTTAACAGAGAATCAAAGTAATAAAGAATTTCCTGCTTCCTCTTCATTTGGGCCTTTTAGACACTGAAAATAAGCATATGCATCGACTTCTATATCACACATCGGTATTTATCCTCATCACTTTCTGAATTCCCGGTCACCTTCGGGAAAGCGTGAGAGGTTAATTAAGAAGAAAGCCATAGCTGGCGTGCTTTCGTCGAGGCGACATTTGCGGTGTAAGCTTACCGGATGCTATTTGCTCAGGAAAAAAAAAAGTGTGGAACGGAAGAGAAAACGCCCACAAGAAAGTGTGGAAAGGAGAAAGTGGCACAAAATCTGACAGACAGGGGAGGGCGAAGATATTCACACACAAGTTGAGAGCCCCTAATTATCTGTTGCAAATTATGTCGCCAAGTTCTTTTGAAGTCGTTTTGCATTTCCAGGCCCTATTGACTTAGGTAGGCTCCTAGCCGATTGTTTTGTAACAAAATAAATTTTGAAACCCATCATTAAGAGGCATCGTGAGAAATAGCAAAGAGAGCCAAGTAACTTGATGGGTGTGTATGCGTGTGGGAGGGGCAATAGAGGGTATGTGTAAGCCCTATATAGAAAGAAAAAGAAAAAAACACAAGAAAGAAAATTGTCATGGGTAAATCTACTGCTCTTGACTCTGCAAAAGTTAGTTTCACCCTCTAATTTTCCTAAGTTTTGATGTTAGAAATTTTGCCAGAAAATAGAGGCATGATGGTAATAAAGGAATGCATTTGTAGTGAGGGTAACTGACAGAAGGAGGGAAAGGTAACGCCTTTATAGTGGTTTCCCTTTCCTTTCTGAGCTGTTTTCTACCCCCTACCTCGGGACGTTCCTCTTAATGTGTTTCCCACCAACATCTCCAACATGACTGGGCGGAGGACCCTCCTCTGCCTCTCTTGGTGCACCTTTGCCAATATGAATGAGTTAGCGCCCTGTGAATACGGTAAAGAGACTTTTTTCCTTTCCGTAATATTTTCTGCATTGTGCTCAGCTCTAGAACTCCAGGGCTCCCCAAACGTGGCGCTGCGGGGCGGGGCTTTACCTGTCAGACAGCCGCCCCGCCTCACCGAGATCGAATGTCGGCGGCTGAAGGACAAGGCACCCTGCCAACCAGCGCGTAGGTCTCGGGAAACTAGCCAATGGGCTGGGCGTAGAGAGGCGGGGCCATGCGTTTATATTGCTCTGACAGCGCGCCAGCAGCGCTGACTTTCCTTCCGCGGAGACGCGCGGCGGTTCCTGGAGCCGGCCGTGGCAGAGCGAGCCTGCGGTGCGCCCAGTACCTCGGTTCGGGGTGCGCATTCGCTGCACACAAAAAGATAGCACACGCGTCCCGGCCGGATCGCAGCGAGCAGCTGAGAAAACAGCAGCAGCATCAAGCCCCTGTCCGCCAGCAAGGACGGAGCTTTTCTTTCTTTCCTGCATGTGTGGGCTGAGAGCGCGGAGCGCAGGTTCCTGACGAGCAGAAAGAATTGAGAGATTCCTACGCGCTCTGGAGGTCTTCTCTAGCAGCACCGGCGCCTCCTTTCTGTGGATAGGAAGATGGAATCGCGCCGACGCGGCGCTCGTGGACTCAGGGCGCTGCCCGCCCCTCTGGATCTATAGTCCGACGCGACCTTTCTCCGGGGCGGAGCGCCCACCCCAGCCGAACCTGAGCTCCGCGCCACCAGCAACACCCTTCGCCTTTCACCCGAGTCGTCTCTCCTCTACTTGCCTTTTGTTTTTAAACCCCAGCAAGCCCTTCGCTTCTTTACGACCTGCGAGCGCGCCCGCCGTGGATGCGCCCGGCAACCTGGATTCGCACGGGAGTCGAGCGTCGAGTTGCGTTCGGCGCGGCGACCCGGAGCCCAGAGCCCGCCGCGACGCCGCGCACCGAGCCTTGTCTCCCGCGGCCCTAGCCTTACGCCCTGAAAAGACCCCGGAGGGCGAGCGCATCTCGAGGACTCTGTGAGCCGCTGGAAGCAGGCTTGGCGCGCCGATCGTGCCCTTCGTCGCTCCGGATTCGCGGGGTTTTGCGTTTTTGCTCCTGTTTTTGCCCAGGAGGATTGGGGATACCGGGTCCACGTACCGCCCCTCCGAGATCCGGAGGTCGTGCAGAGGTGGGAGTGGTGTGGCCATGGCCGTGAGGAGGGACTCCGTGTGGAAGTACTGCTGGGGAGTTTTGATGGTTTTATGCAGAACTGCGATTTCCAGATCGATAGTTTTAGAACCTATCTATTGGAATTCCTCGAACTCCAAGTAAGTTGCGCCCGCGATTCTCCCCAAACCCCGCCCGCACCCCCACGGTCCCTCGAGTCCCAGCCCTGGGTCCGCCGCGCCGCGTCCTGTGGGAGGAGGGAGAGACACAGACGTCCCTTCTCCCTGCGAGGCCGCGCTTATCCGGAGCCGCGCGGCAGAGAGAGGTTTTTATTTTTTTCTTTTTTTTTTTTTTTTGAAGCCTCAGCCGGCTCCCTGCACCACCCCCACCCAACCCCCGCCGCCACATTTCACTAGGTGGAGACACCTCGCTTGGCTTTGGAGCCCGAGCGCCGGCCCGAAAGGGCGCCCTTCCCCCAAGCACTCCCCGGCGGTAAAAGCTTCTGGCAGATCGAATGTCACGTCCGGGAAGGTGTCCGGTGGCGATACCTGACCCTCGGTTCTTCTCGAGGACGAAGAATATGGCCACAAATAATCCGGACCGAAGTGGAGGGGCTGGCTGGCTTCAGCGGAGGGAGGGATGCTGCCGAGAAAGGCCGGGATGTTGCCGTTCCGAGAAACGCACACGACCGCGCTCTCCCGGCGCTTCGCCGGGCGTGCGACGGGAGTGGCCAAGGAGCAGGCAGTGGAGCGTACTCTTGAAAAGGGTAGCCCTTGGTTTCCCCGCGCCTCTGGAGCGGGCAGCGCCCCGAAGCCCGCGCGCCTAGTCGTGGCGCCGCCAGCCCGAGGGCGCGCCAGCAGCTCGGTTGCTCCGTGAGAGAACTCGGGGGACGAGAGCCGTCTCCTTGCCCCCATCAACACCCCGCGCAGGAGCTGTACTATTTGTTTCTTATCTCAGAGAAACCCTGGCACGTTGGCTTCTGCCTTCATCTGTAAATCAGTAGCCTTAAACTCTGCAGTCGAGATAGCCGACTTGATTTTAACGACGCGTTCTGCAAAATCTTAAGAGTATTACTCAGTAAACACTGCTCCTTGGCATTTTGGGAAAATGGGCAGGAATTGGATCTTTGGGGATCAGACTTTAATTTATGTAACGGTGAAGCCAGAAGAAAGGCAGGCCTTGTGGAGAGTAACTTTCAGTTTGGGTAAGGAAAGTAAATTCAGAAATTAGGAAGGCAATAATTCATCACTAAATACAAATGGCTGTACTTGTACTTAATCAGCAATGCAGTCAATGTGTATTACTTCATTCTCGGGATACATTTCGAATTACTCCAAAAAAAAAAGTTTTACACAATCATGGAATTTTAGGCTTAGGAAACTTGGAAAAAGAGCAAGCATTTGATATTACAGACTAAAATCAATGGCCTTATTGAAGTTGTGCAAGTTGAGCATTGACTTAGAAGTAAAGAAGTGGGGCATTTAGAGACCACATCCTAATTAAGGAATTTTATCCATTCTTTTTTAAAAATGGTAAATTTTAAATTCATCAAAATATCAGCCAGTAGTTTCCGATTAAAAGGGCAAGAAACATCATAATTGTGAACGAGATTAAACAAATTCTGGCACATTGCTTAGTTGCCACTTTCAAACACTGCTCCTATTTTTAAATTAACTTAATACAGCATTCTTCCAAGTAGCCTGATCTGTATGGATTATTTAAAAAGTCAGATGTTCTGTTTGCTTAGGGTACTATTAGCGAGCTCTTTACACTAAATACCAAATTGTGAGGCACTTGGTGATGCCTGAAAATGCCCAACTCCGGACCTCCACGCATTAGCTGGCACGCGGCGTCCAGGAGAGACTGCTTTCAAGCCAGGACCTAGGAGGAGAGCCGGGCGGGAGTGAGGCCTGAGCCACTGCTCGCTATGTTCCTACAGAGGTCACTCTTCCATGCACAATGTTCTCGAGCCAGCACTCCTTTCCTCCCCGCCCCCCTCCCCCCCCCTTTAAGGTCCGTGTTCTGTTCTACTTTTCACTTTTCACTGATGAGGGCTCTCTCTGGGTGCTGATTTTTTTCTTTTAAAATCGTGATAAAGACTTAATATTTATATTTAATTCTAATTAAAAGAAATTTTTATTAACTTCTTCAGCGATTAACTCATTATATGTATCTTGTGTTATTAATTCTACCATCTGTGTGTTTCTGGGAAAATTAGAAATACCTTCTTGGGAAAAAGGGTAGAACAGTATTTATTCCAACCATTTGCAGTTTTTTTCTTGGGAGCAGTGGGATGAAAACTAATACTTCTTCATCATCCTGATAATTAAAATTAGTTTGTGTTTTTTGCCCCCCTCCCCATCCTGTGCTGTGGCTAGAGATTTATAGACCCGCTAGAGGCCTGTATTTTGGAGAAATCTACCTCCCTGCACTACTGCTGCTGCTGTTGTTGGTGTGATTGTTCCATTCCTCAAGAGTAGCATTTCTTTAAAAAGTCTCACTATAATGGCTTGCCTGGAGGACTCTGGATAATTTGTCCCTGGAAAAGATCTATTTCACAAAGTATGCAGCTGAATGCTAGCTTGAGAAATTAGAAAATTTCTTCCTGGAGGAATGATATGAAAGAGCCTTCTCTCAGTTTAGTAATGATTAAAACCCGTGGTGCCAGGGGGTTGATTTATTTATGGAAGTTGCATATTTCTGCCCAAGGAAAAGTTTCCATCAGCAAATATGATGTTACAGGAAGGTAATCAAATGCATTGAAGTTTCACATCAGTTCATATGACCTATGGAAGAATTCATTTGTAATGAAGCAACGATCAGTAATTAGATTTGTTTCATTTGGAGGTCAGCTTTTTTAGCAGGTGGTCGACATAGGGAGCATGCAGCAGCTGTTTGAATACAGGGTTCAGAAAATCCTTTGTAAATTCACCGTCTCCATAACTACTTTAATCACACTGTCTGCTGTCCCCATCCCTGAGAGTTTATGGAATAATCAAAAGAAGTCTTACATACAGTAAGTAACATTAGAGACACCCCTGCTAAATTATTCACATTGTATCAATAGGGTCTGGGAGAGTTGGGTCAATTATAACCATTTAGATTGGTTAAGCTTTTCCTTTTTTTAAAATTTAGGATAGGTTACCAAAACCCGGCTTCTGTTTCTAAATAATATTTCAATAGAGCAGCTTTTTCCAGGCATGATGGTTTTAAAGCCAAAATAAAATATTCGGCCCTTATTTTTATATTGATTTCACTTTATAGTGAGCAAACTTGTGTTGAGATGGTATTGTAGAGTGAATTACACTGAATTCGTTGAAAATTTTCAGTCAGGCATTAATTTCTTACTTCGAAGGTTGCTATTCCATGTACATCATACACTAGTTAGTTAACAAAGCATTTTTCTTTTCCCATGTAATTTTCTCCTACATAGTACTGAGTTTCTGATATTGATTGACTGGGATGATACAAAAGAGTGGCTGAATAATATCCAGATAACCTATAATACATGGGCTTCACAACACTCAGGCACTGAATAAATACAGACCTGTCACAGATTGATAAAATAAACTACAATGGATAGTCCTGTTTAAACAGTTCATTCAATAACATATATAAGCCAGCCTGCCTTCCATTGTGTCCGAAATTCTTATTTTTGTAGGTAAACAAATGCACATTCACCACTGATTGAATAGCCCCTTGAACTCTGCTCCGGAGTTTGCGTTTGGGTTAATCTTGTCGGTTTTAATATAGAGAGAAAAAAGAACAAAGCACCAGGGGTGGAATTGTTAGTGCTTTCACATCCACATTCCTCACATTTTGTCAGGATGATAAACTGTAGGTAATGGACTGTCGTTGTTCCATGGGACAACTGAGCCAGGCAGAGCACAAAGAGGGAGCTAAAGCGATATCTCACAACATGCTTGGTAGCCTTCTTTTCAGAAGAGAATTTATTTGGGAACCATGTGTCTAGGGACTGCGCTTTTTAACCTCAACAATTACAGCTTCAAGACTCTGAAACAGGAGCTGGAGGTTAAGATTATTTGTTAAGCACTTGGTTCTAAATCTTTCCCAAAGCATAGCTGTTGACACTTGTAGTGCTGATGCAGAGCAATGCAGATGACTCCAGCATTCCTGTTTCTGACCCTCAGGCTCAAGTATGAGGACAGGTGAATTAGCAGTAGGCCCTGAGACCAGCTGAAAGCTACATATTGGAAGGACTCCACAGTAGAATCAACTGAAGAGTAATTGGGTTATTATTTATAGTAATCATTGTAAAACCTCTTACCTGTAAACTTTAATGAGGTACATCCTCTGGTGGACCAGTATGATCATTACCTTCAAAGGACTTGTGGTAGGTGCAACTCAATTTCTCTACCTTGCCCTATACTGATAGACTTCAGGGAGCTCACAGGAGCTTCAGTGTGACATATAACTTAAAGCGACATTTCAGAGTGTGTTCACCTAATGGGAAACTGTTTGAGGTCCCAGCATGGCTGCAGTGATGCGTCATAGAAATGGGAGTGGCAGGGAAAAGGGAATACAGAATGTGGTCCCTAATCACATCTTTTTTAAGAAACGATTTGCCTTTAACATTTTATGAAAACTTTAGTCTTTAAAATATTTAATTGCAAATTAGGAAAAAAGACATGCTATTCTAAGAAAACTAGTGATTAAAATGGTACTCATGTCTGCCTAATCTCTGCCTGCCTTTGCTGCTGACATAAAGAACCTGTTTTTCAGGTCACTTATCATACATCTACATAGATTTGCTTATGAGCTCATTCTTTGTGTAGCGGAGTAGAGCCTTAAATAGGAGTGTTCAACTGTTTAAAATATTTTGATTAAAATATGCAGGACCCATAGAACTATAAGCTTCTAGTAAGGAATTAGCTCTTTCAGGGAAGTGCGCCCCCCCCCCTTTTCAGGGGGAATTAGAATGGGGTTGGGGGAGGAATCTAAGAAAAGCAAAGAAGGAAGGATAGCAAATGGGACAGTGTTCGAACAGCTTGGAAAAACTCCTGTGGCTTCATTGTCTCTATAAAGCCAAAGAATACAAAGACATAAGCAATTCAACCCTTCTCCCATGATGGAAAATGTAAACCGTTGACATGGCTCCCCTGTTTAACTTGTTTAATTCTCATTTTAAATTCAGTGCTAT